GGAGGATTTCGATATAAGCCAAGAGGAGACTGGTTTTCCTTTGCTAAAGTAAGGAAACTTTGCTTCCTTTGCTCCTGTAAACCAACGTTGGTTTTCACAAGACTCACCGCCGCATGCGCAACGCTGACCTCATATGTCATCCTCCCGGAGCCGTTTCCGTGTACAACTGTTGGCGCAAGCGAGATTAAAGTGATTATTACGTTTTGAATATGGATATTTTTCTTACAAAAATGCATCGATTCGCTACAGGAGGCCTTTGTTTTATTTTGGATGGATGCACTTTATTTCATTTCTTTTGGACTGATGAACTGCAAAACCTGCTGACTGCCATTAAACAGCTTGGAAGATCAAAGACAATTTTTAACATAACTCCGATTCGATTCGTCTGAAAGAAGGAAGTCATATACGCCTAGGATGGCTTGAGGTTGAGTAAATAATGGGCTAATCCCTTTAACTGATGGCCTGGAGACATGTGGATTACTTGTGGACTATTGTGATGTTTTTATCAGCTGTTTGGACTCTCATTCTGACGGCACCTATTCACTGCAGAGCATCCATTGGTGAGCAAGTGATGTAATGCTCCCAGAAGAGGTGAGTTTTCAGCTGTCAGGGATTTGTCTGTCCGTTTAAGGTTTGGAATATCATTCCTTTAGTGAAGAACAGTGAACGAGAACGTTTGGAAAATTATTTTGTGATTAAATTACCATGAGTGCCGCTTGCTCACTGCCGTTTGTGGTTGGCAGATGCCAGTAATTTAGCCATGACTGTCTTATATGAATGCCTTTATTTTGGAATGCATATGCAAATATGTTTTGCATATGAAATAAATTTCCTTTGTTTTGTTGGGCACTTTGTTGAAGTGAACTACTTAGTTACTAAGAAAACACACTGCCTTTGACCCTCAGATGAAGATGAATTTACTCCGTGTGTGTGTGTGTGTGTGTGTGTGTTGCAGGTACACTCATCTGCGTCAGACAGCTCAGTGATGAGCTCCTCTCCCCAGCGCATTCAGATCATCTCCACTGACCCCTCTGTCACAACCCCTCAGAGAATACAGGTTCACACACAAGCGCACACACTTGCTTTATTGTAGATGGTGCACTGACACATTCAGACACACTCACACTCTTTCTCTTTTTCAGATAGTCACTGAGCAGCAGACGGGTCAAAAAATCCAGATAGTGATGGCACTGGACTCCACTGTGCCCAAACAGCAGTTTATCCTGGCAGCACCTGATGGCTCTTCAGCAGGCAAAGTCCTCCTGGCATCACCTGAGGGTACTAGTGCCAAACAGCTTATCTTTGCCACTGCTGATAGCCTGGTGCCTGGCCGAATTCAGGTATGATGGTCACATGAATGCATTGGTGTTTCTTCAACCATGGGCACATTTGTGTCTCAGAGGATTTTTGTATATTATTTTTCAGTACATGCACTTACGTGTAGTTATAGTGTAGCTTATCTAGGACACTGGGGAATATAAACTAACTACATTGGTTAAGGTTAGGTTTAGGGGTAGGTTCAGGGTTAGTACCTAGTTATTCCCCAATTATTGTAATTACTATAATAAGTACAGATTTCAGCTTTAGATCACATTAAAACCATTTTGGTAACTTTTTGGCAATTATTTTAACCCCGTCTTCATTTATTTATGCTACTTTCCAGATGCCTTTTATGTTTAGATTTTATTGTTGTACTCTTGTCCCAGACCCTGAATTTTAATCTTAAAACATTAAAATCCCTTATAAATAGTAGAATTATTACATCCAGGGTGCAATTAGCAGATTTTCACTGCCTATGCTGTTGATATCCCAGATTCTAGTAATTTTTCATCCCCAGACAGGAAACATTTTATACCCGATTCTGGTCAGGCGGTATGCATTTCCCGTTTCCGAGAGTAGATGATGTTTTCTTACCGGCATATTAACACCGGAATATTAACAGATTCTACCACATGTAACAGTAAGTAATTGGATAAATATTATGTTATAATTTTAGGTCCACAGTGTTTTATTTAAATAAATCAAAATGCTAATTGTGACTTTTTATCTTGCAATTCTGAGTTTATATCACGATTCTGACTTTTCTTCTCAGTTTTGTGAGTTTATATCTCACAATTCTGAGTTTATATCTTGTAATTCTGAGAAACCTCGCTTCTAAGAAACTCTTAAGTCTTAAGAAAATCCTAAGAAACCTTGCTTCATGTGAGAGAAAACACTGGTTTATAAAACAGGGAAACTGGTCGCAGTTACTTCTTTCACAAGAAGTCTATGTTATATTAAAGGGGTCATATGATGCTGCTAAAAAGAACATTATTTTGTGTATTTGGTGTAATGAAATGTGTTTATGCGGTTTAAGGTTAAACACATTATTTTCTACATACTGTACATTACTGTTTCTCCTCTATGCCTCTCCTTTCTGAAACGTGTCGATTTTTACAAAGCTCATCGGTCTGAAAAAGCGAGGGGTGCTATGATTGGCCAGCTATCCAGTGCGTTGTGATTGGCCGAATACCTCAAGCGTGTGACGGAAATGTTACGCCCCTCACCATATTGTGATGCCCTGTCAGGCCGGAGCGATGATTCAAAAACATGAAAACCCATTATAAACGAGGCATTCATTGCATCCAGTGGGGACATAATTATGGATTATAATGACTCATGCAGAGCATCCATTGGTGAGCAAGTGATGTAATGCTCCCAGAAGAGGTGAGTTTTCAGCTGTCAGGGATTTGTCTGTCCGTTTAAGGTTTGGAATATCATTCCTTTAGTGAAGAACAGTGAACGAGAACGTTTGGAAAATTATTTTGTGATTAAATTACCATGAGTGCCGCTTGCTCACTGCCGTTTGTGGTTGGCAGATGCCAGTAATTTAGCCATGACTGTCTTATATGAATGCCTTTATTTTGGAATGCATATGCAAATATGTTTTGCATATGAAATAAATTTCCTTTGTTTTGTTGGGCACTTTGTTGAAGTGAACTACTTAGTTACTAAGAAAACACACTGCCTTTGACCCTCAGATGAAGATGAATTTACTCCGTGTGTGTGTGTGTGTGTGTGTGTGTTGCAGGTACACTCATCTGCGTCAGACAGCTCAGTGATGAGCTCCTCTCCCCAGCGCATTCAGATCATCTCCACTGACCCCTCTGTCATAACCCCTCAGAGAATACAGGTTCACACACAAGCGCACACACTTGCTTTATTGTAGATGGTGCACTGACACATTCAGACACACTCACACTCTTTCTCTTTTTCAGATAGTCACTGAGCAGCAGACGGGTCAAAAAATCCAGATAGTGATGGCACTGGACTCCACTGTGCCCAAACAGCAGTTTATCCTGGCAGCACCTGATGGCTCTTCAGCAGGCAAAGTCCTCCTGGCATCACCTGAGGGTACTAGTGCCAAACAGCTTATCTTTGCCACTGCTGACAGCCTGGTGCCTGGACGAATTCAGGTGTGAAGGCACATAATTGCATCGGTGTTTCTTCAACCGTGTGCACGCTTATGTCTCAGGGTTTTTTTGCATATTATTTTTCAGTTCATGCACTTACGTGTAGTTATAGTGTAGCTTATCTAAGACACTGGGGAATATAAACTTGGTTTAAGATGAGGTTTAGGGGTAGTTTCAGGGTTGGTACCTACCCAGATAGCAAGAGAGCAGGTGAAAACCATTGAATCAATGTTAAAAATAGTCGATTTGTCAGTGTTAATGACATTGAATTAGTATCACTTTTTGCACCTGCAATTAATGTTGAAAAAATTTTGAAATTTCAGCAAACCACCATTATTGTGATCAGCGTTTGCTTTAGTTGGGCTCTTGACTCTTGCTTTTCATGAGAGAAAGGAAAAATTTAAATCGCATCATATGACCCCTTTAAATATCTGTATGGTGAAACAAATTAGTGGACCAGAACTAACTGTTGTGAAAATGGTTTATATTTTAAATAACCATGTGCTAATGCCTGTTGTTGGATAGTCCAGTAAATTTACATTTTTAAAAATTATTTTCTTGTTGATGGTCACAAAGCAAAAGTCGGTTATTCGTAATTGAATTAAAATTCTGGCATCAGTGAATAACAGTCACATTATGTTTTTTTCGTATTACTCCATGTTTCATTTTCATGTGAAAATAGAGTAAAATCTCTATTAGATGATGCATTTTTACTGTATTTTATAGTAGCCTATATACAGTGGGTACGGAAAGTATTCAGACCCCCTTAAATTTTTCACTCTTTGTTATATTGCAGCCATTTGCTAAAATCATTTATACTACCTGTGAATTAGATAATTACTTTTATGCGTGGCATCATCATCATCTGTGCCATGGTTTGATCTGTGGGCATGTAATTGTGCTATAAAAATTCTAACCCTGAATGCCAAGTAATTAATCCTTCTGCCTTTTCTGGTAGTTTGTAACAGATGCAGTTTCAGTGGAGAGGCTTCTGGGTAAAGGGGCAGACATGAGCCGAGCACAGCCAATAGAATACTGCGTGGTGTGTGGAGATAAAGCCTCAGGTATAAACGCATTCAATGTGAATAATGCCAGTGCATGCAAAGCAGCATTACATATGAGAGACATGTGTTGCCCATAGACCGTCTGTTAAGTATTGCATGCTGAAATAGCAAAACATGCCTGAAATCACCAGGGCTGCATTTCCTAAAAGCATTGTTAGCCAAGGTAGATTGTAAAGACCATTGGTGCCAATGGTTTCAGTTATGTACTTAACAGCCCAGGCCAGTTCTAATCTAATTGGCTGGCTGTTTCCAGTTTCCAGGCCACCGCAAAGAGTGTTTCAGAGAAAGAACTAATCACTAGATTTGGCAAGTATATGGGGTTCGTATTGGATCTTTGATTCAAGATATTTAAGAGTTTGTTTGAGAAACCTAGTAAACTCCTTGATCTTACTTGTATATTACTCTTTGTTCTCAAATTTATATGTCTGATTTCAGGTTTAAGACATTAAAGATTTACATCAAGCCTCTGAAGGGTGATGTGAAAACAAAAGGAAATTTGGTTGGTCACTTTTAACGTCAGTAGCTGGTTCACACTGATAAGATATGTTGGCCCGAGTGTCAGTATGAGGCAGTTGCTGCTGCTGCTGACGATTTAGTTCCAAAACAAGGAAGCCCTATCTGAGGGTTGTCCCCCCTAAAAATATGATAAAAAAAACCATTCTGTGTATTGTAAATAACAATGTTTTATACTTTAGTAATTGTGTAAGTAGTAAAACAACACAAACGGGGCAAAAATGTGTTTTAAGTTTAGAAACATTTTGAGTCTCCTCCTCCTTACCTCACAGTGCTTTGGTCCAAATGCCTGCTTTCCTCTTTTACATCACATAGGCTACACTAGGGGTGTTCGGTTCCAGGTTTTTCGGAGTCGACTCCGACTACTCCCACCAGCGGAGTCGATAGAATCGACTCCTCGACTCCATTTACCGTGACTGTCCAAATTAGTCCAATCTAGCGGTGTCATTACCTTTAAATGAGCTATCACCGTTGCTTGCTGTTGCCTACACTTAATTTCACTGAGGGAAAAGTCACGAAAAACAGCCGTGGTGGAATGTTCTCTCAGAATTAAATAAAAAATTATATATTCTTTAATGAATTCGTCACATTATAATGGTCGGGGGATGGCGCTACATGTAGGCCTATATTGCCTTAAACAGCATTATTAAAAAAATGTATACAATAGGCCTAAATACAAAAATACATACGAATGTAGGCCTGTCTGTCTTTAACGATTTAAGCTTAGTTTAATGACTGAATAGCCTATATTGAAAACCAAATGTAGCCTATAGGCTATTGAGTGCATTAAACATAGGCTAACATTGCATAACAAAACATCAATTATACAAAGCTGTCACAGAAGCATGTATAATTACAAACTACATTTACTATTCCACACCTGTTTCACACATACTCCGTTTGCAGTGCGTGCTTTTTCCCTTTCCCATGTTGAGAGCATTCACTCGATGCGTTCCGAGCGGTGCGTCTGCAGCATCGCAGCGATTGTTTCCGCACCGAATCTATTTTTGCTGTGCTGCACACGCTGAATTAAAGTTATAGGGCATTGCTCACGTTAAAAATGTACATTGATTGATACGAAATGTATTAATTGCACCATAAATGCATATAGGCTAATTAAAGTACTTTTAGCTATAGGGGTAAAGCAAGGAAAAGTACCCTACACTTTTAGATAAAAATGGTAACCGATGGCACTTGTGAAGTTAGAAAAAGTTCTTTTTATGACCAGCAGGGTTACTTGTAATGTAAATGCAAAAAAAAAAACAAAAAAAAAAGGCCGCGGCTCCACCTCACGACACTACTGCGCAGACTCTGGCT